GCAGCTGAATTTGAAATCTTTTTGTCACACACGGGTAGGGAACATTCCCCTATGGTTTCAGCTTTCCAGCCTTTCTCGTTCCCGAGTTAGCAATTTCCCTCAAAATGCCCTCAAAACACGGGACCATATTACCAGCCTTCAGGAGGATCGATGCAATCCACATTAGGAGTATCAAAATACGAATTTTTGAAACAGTCTTATTGGCCGCTGCACTACTTCGTCAAAGTCAAAACCTCCTCCGTATTAGCTCTCTAATCGAACAGCACAGGCACCTGAGATACAGACTCAGTAGTAGCAAGTACCACACATAGGGGATGGAGCTCTTGGGGGACATGACGGGAGCGGGGGGGAGGGGAGTCTTCTTCGGTTTTAATATTAAAGGAGAACTTTTGTAACACAGGTGCCTGGGCCACTCGCGAAAGACTCATCGCTCGCCCCCTCTCTCCTCGTGGTACCAAAACAACCACCGGCTAATAAAGTTGTTCCACTTAACAGAGTTATTTAACTAATCTGTTTCACGTAAAAAAACAGTTGGAAGGCCGCCGGCGTATTAAGACGATCCGCTAACTCAAATATATGATGTACTGGGGATGCGGCTTACCCAAGACCGAAGTTGATGACATGGATGTTTGGCTACACCACCGGAGAAGTTTCGAGCATAAACCAGTGCTGGTCTAATAGTCGTTTTAAGTATTCAAATAAATTGGACTTTTACCCATAAGGTACTTGGAGTCACCAATTAACTATTGAAATTTATGTCCGGACTTAATACGGCCCATTAGTGTGTCACTGAGACTTCATGGGTAATCAACATGTTTCTTTTAAAATGGCGAAGTAGGGCACTGTACTGATGATTCCCATCACATTTCGCACCGATTCTGCCGTCTGTGTTTACAGCTCAGGGATGAAACAGACAGACACAGGCTACCAAGTAACTGTACATAAAGACTTGCCTATTGGGAGTACCTGAATGGTACTTCCAGTGTTTTCATTAATTATCAAAATTCAATTGTGTTCCTCTCCATGCTGGTGGGCCAGCAGAGCCAAACAAACCGCATATTTTAACGCATAGACGCGATTTCAGGCCTCCGTCCTCTTTCAGTTTTTTAGTCAGAGATATTCATTGTTTGTATCTTTAAAATTTCTACAACACTTAACGAGCTCTGTTGGTAAATAAAGTGAAAACCGTTTAGACGAAAAACCGGCACAAATTCAGAATTTCAAAG